AGAAGAACTTCTTTCTCATAGTTTTTGAACATTCAACAATTATTGAAGATAGGATTTAGGAATTATTAAAAATGAGATTTAGAAGATGTTTTAGTAATAGCTATTGGGCGCCAAAAATTTTATAAACGGCGATTGTTTATAAAGTTTCTTAGTAGCAATTATTTAATGACAATTATTCGGAAGTAGAAAATTGTTTCCCTTTCTTTTACACTATTCCGTTCTTTGGGAACGATCAATTATAATTATTAACAGTGGTTTGAGAAAAAAATAAAATCCCGAAACATTTTGATCATATGTGTGTGTGTGTGTTTGTATGAGTGAAACAGTATATTTTTATATTTGAATAATTTTTTTAAAAAGAATTTAATTCGCTGGAAGATAACGCGTCGGTAAAACAGTGCCGATAAATCCTACATTTGCCAGTGATTTCAATGCGTGTGTGGAAGATCAAGTACACGCTTCAACGATTAGCGCGTCAAGCTATCGTTTTTCAAGTCGTTTTGTAAAACAAAATAATGCACAATTATTTCTGTAAATTATTTATAATTACTTACGAATTACATGTTCACAATATTAATAAATTATATTGTATATAATAAAAATTAAAATAAATGCATCAATCCTTAGTACATTGAACATCACTGTAGTCTTTTGGCAAAATTAATTATTAAAATGCAATACAATATTTATACAATTTATTTTATAAATTTTATAACATAATGAATATGTGTATATAAAAAATAACTAATCAATTAATAAATAATATTATACTAGTATCACGTTAAAGTGAATTGAATTTACATTAATAAAATTATTTAAATTAATTTCAATATTGTAGTTCTTTAAGAAATAAAAGGATTTTATATTTACGAAGCTTGTACTAAATCAACACAATAAAATTACAAATTGTCCAATACCACGATATTATCGTGTGAAATCACTTCTTTAGTCACTTTGTCAAATCGACTTTCCATTCGTTTCGTTTAAATGGGAAATTAATATAATTTCGTTCAGGATCATAACTCGAGATAGAGGTCAGTATTTACAATGTTTCTCGTGGTTTCGTTAGAAAGCGCAAACTGATCTCGAGTCCGTAACGAAACGATTCTCATAAATTCGTCCGTTCTTTCTTCTTTTTCCCCTTTAAAGGTATTACATCAAGGCGACTGATACAGAACATGATACATGTTAATTATTTTAACGGCGAACTTTCTCACAGTCCCTGCAGTCGCGACTTTCTTCTACACATGGTGAACGATAGAGACAAAACTGGTTCGCGAAAATGGCTCTATTGGCTATCATTGTCGAGATTCCTGCGGATTTCTCGCTATAACGAGGAAAAAATTTAGACAACACTGTAAGCGAATTGATCTGCTCTTGAGAAAGTTGCTTAATAAATCCAAGTAAATTGTAATTCGATATGGAAGGACAGACGAAAAAGTTATTTTGGGTTTTAATTTGAAATTAATTTTCTGAAAGCCTGTCATCGTTTCTAGATACAATACATTGATAATGTTTACTTTTTGGAAAAGTTACCTTATTTCCTTTTTGGAAAATGATATAATTCATTGTGAGACATTAATGATATAATTATTTTGCGATTTAATTACTAGAAAGTCATTTTTCGAAATTTCAATTACGATTGAAAGAATAATTTTTCAAAGCTTATTTTATAATTGGAAAAGTGACATGGTTTTCGAT